TTATAGTAATAGTGTGGATTACCCATGCAACATTGTTTTTATACCACAATTCAATAAATACACAACTCAATTTTACTATATTTTTTTTAAGTAAACGATTTCCAATATGTTATGCTTCCGATATTATTAAGTGATTCATGCAATGCCTTACTATGTTTTTGTATTTTCATGAACTTAAAAATAGTCCAACACAAAATAACTGTTTTTTTGTTTTTGCAAAATAAGTGCTTTAGCCGCCCTATATTAAAGAATTAGCCTCTTACAAAATAAATGAAAAAAAAGAAAAAGATTTTCTTCATTCTACATAATATTTACGTGTATGAATGTGAATACATGGCGTGAGAAATAAAAAAACTTACTAGTGATGTTTTTCAAAGTTTAGTTTGGCAAGGCTATACTAGGGGTTACATATGAAGACCACAAATAAACATATGTAAAAGTAATTGAGCGAGAATTTCCTCTGTCTCTAATTACTTGTCCACTTTTAAATTGACACATCTATTAAGAAAACAATGATTGACATAGTTAGTTTTACCATTTTACCCCTATTAATTATGAAGTAGATGAATTAAAAATTTAAGATTTACAAGAAGTTTTATCTTTTCCAAAGTAATTAATTGAGAGTATAATAGATAAAAAAAAAATGTCTCTTTTTGAGTTGTTAAAATGGACAAGTAATTAGGGACATAGGGGTATTAAGTATAAGTAATTTAATGTTAAAGTAACCAATATAAAAAAGGAATATCGATAACTTATCTTAACACAAGAAAAATAGTGTATCAATCTTAGAAAAAAAATGATCATGTCTTCACAATCGCCTCTTATTTACGTTATTATTATTCTGGTTTAATTTCCATCACTAATTTAAATATATTAAAATCTGTTTCCATTCGTTAAGATAAACAATCATTTTTATTATATTCTTGTTATAATGAATGGTAAATACTTCGTAAAAATTAACTCATTTGGAAAGAACACATTTATCGTGCACCCCACTCTCTTTTGGTATTTTTGATAAATTAAAATATCAAAAGTTAGATTTAAATATTAATAATAAGTGAATATATTAAGAGAAATAAGTATTTCTAAAAATGAACTGACGATGTAATTTTATTGTCCACTGTCAGTGGCACATATCCACGTAACTATAGACTATAGTAAAGTAACCACTATAAAAAGGGTTATGGTAAACTTGTGTGAACACAAGAAAAACACAACACTCTATCAATCATGTCTTCAAAATCGGCTCTTATTTGCGTAGTTATTCTGGTTTTCATCACTACCAGTCTTGTAGTTGATGTCCAAACCCAACCTATAATTGGTGTATCAATTCAAAATGGAATTTTGGCTTGCTCCGCGACGGGAAATCCTCCAAAACAATTAATTATACTAATTAAGAAAATTGTTATCTCGCTATTAAAGCACAAAATCTCTGGCAAATTTGATTTACCGGCAATAATAGATGCTAAAAGGGCAAGTAGAGCCATTTGGAAAATGAACTTATCAGCCATTATAATTAGAATTATACACAAATTTCATAGTGTTAAGAGCTAATTACATCATATCCATATACAATTTGCCAAATTACAAAATTCTTTTAAATTTGGTAGAATTCGGATACAACCCAAAACACCTCGATACATTACGTCCCGGTTTCAGATACATCGCTCAACGTCTCGATACATTGCGTCTCGATTTCGGATACATCACTCAATTTTCCAATACAACGCGTATGTCCCGATACATCGCGTGAAGTGATGTATCTGAACGATATATCGCGTGAAGTGATGTATCCAATTGATACATCACGTAGAATGATGTATTCGAGAGTAGGCGAGAGTAAGGATTTATTGTAATTTTTTCAAATAGTAGAAATTGTGTTCGAGAGTAGGAGAGAATATGATAAAATAAATTTTGTATTTAGGTAATTTTCCTTAAATAATTGACGTTAATTATAGCCTGTGACGTTTGAAGCAATAAAAATCATCGTTACTGACACTTTTCTAAATACACGCTAAATACTTTAGAGATTTTATATATGTACAAAAGAAAAAATTTAATGACTAATAAATATTTTAGCAGCTCTTATTATTATTATCGCAAAAGGCCTTTATGTTAGTAGTGTGGATCACCCATACAACATTGTCTCCATACCATAATTCAACAAATACACACTTCAATTTTAATCTAAAGTTTATTTATAGTAAAACGATCTCCACTATATTATGTTTCCGATATTATTAAGTGATTGACGCAGTACTTTACTATATCTTTATATTTTCTTAAATTTAAAAATTGTCAAAAATCTATTAGAAGCAGTTGACATTTACTTGGTTGATAGACACTAGCTTCCTATCTTTTGATTTGTTAATTCCAAAGTAGGCTTTAGCGGCCCCAAGGGATTTGTCTCTTTCAAAATAAATGAAAAGTTTGTACTTTATTCTATATAATTGTTTGTAATAACTTTTAAACATATGGAAAATAAATAAGTCACAAAAAATAAAATCTGAAGAAACATAATTTTACTTATCAAGATAGCGGGTATAGTTCTGTTCCTCCCTTGATTCTCCTCTCCTAAGATTTATCCATGATTCGAGGGCCGTTAGTGACGTATTTCTCGAACCAGGATGATTTAGATTTGACATTTAATATTCCATGTCTTTTGCGGAATATATCGAGGTCTTGATCTCTTTATAGAATTTTCGAGAGGCATTTTTAGAGAATTTAGTACCCTTTATATAGGCATAAACTAGGGTTTAAGATTGAGTAGCCTCCAAGAATCCTAATTTGAGTTGAACACAATTAGTAGAGTCCCAACTTGAATTGAACACGTCTTGTAGAGTCCCACAAAATTTCAATGTCTACAAATGCCCCCTGCTTCAAGGCTTGTCGGAGTGTAGACTTGATGAAACTCAAAGACAAGACTTGAAGTACTCATTCTTCCACCTTTTCAGCTTCAGATTTTCAGATTTGATTTAAGAGAGAAGAGATGAAGGGCAGATTTGATCCCACTGGGCAACAAATTTTAAACATATGGAAAATAAATAAACCACAAAAATAAAATCTGAAGAAACATAATTTTACTTATCAAGATAGCGGGTATAATTCTGTTCCTGATTCTCCTCTCCTAAGATTTATCCATGATTCGAGGGCCGTTAGTGGCGTATTTCTCGAACTAGGATGATTTATATTTGACCTCTATATGAATATTTCATGTCTTTTGTGGAATATATCGAGGTCTTGATCTCTTTATGAAAATTTTGAGAGGCCTTTTTAGAGAATTTAATACCCTTTATATAGGCATAAACTAGGGTTTAGGGTGGAATAGCCTCCAAGAATCCTAATTTGAGTTGAACACAATTAGTAGAGTCCCACAAAATTTCAATGTCTACAATAATTTTAATGTATATGAATATAAATACATGGCGTGAGGAAAAATACACCTTACTAATAATAATTTTCAAAACTTAGTTTGGCAAGGCTATACTAAGAGTTACATATGAAGATCATAAATAGACAGATATAAAAGTAATTATGTGAAAATTTGAATAAGTAAAATACATATATTAAGTAATTTAATGTTAAGGTGTTACTTCCTTCATTCCTATTTATATGTCATCATTTTGGATTTCATGTGTATTAAGAAACTAAGTAAGTTTACTATTCTACCCTTATTTAATTTTTTTGGAACTCAAATTTTTAATCAATGAATATGAATTAATTTATTTTGATTAATTAGTGTAACCAATGAACATGAATCATTTACTTAGTTTTTCTAAGTTGGTCAAATGTATATTTTCAAGGCTAATAACTCTTATTCAATATCTCAATCTTAATTTTCCGTGCCAATTTGTTTGCAACAAATTTTAAAGTGATAGAAAATAAATTGCAATCACAATAAAATAAGAAGAAACATAATTTTATTCATCAGGGTACAATTTTGTTCCTCCATTGATTCTACTCTCCTAAGATTTATCCATGATTCGAGGGCCATTACTGGCGTATTGCTCAAACTACAATGATTTAGATTTGACCTCTATATGAATATTTCATGGCTTTTGTGGAATATTAGAGATGCCTTTTAAGGGAATTTAGTACCCTTTATATAGGCATAAACTAGGGTTTAGGGTTAAGTAGTCTCCAAGAATTCCAATTGAAACTGAACACACCTTCTAGAGTCTCAATTCCAATTGAACACGTCTTGTAGAGTCCCAAAAAATTTCAATGTCTACAAATACCCCTGCTTCAAGACTTGTCAGAGTGTAGACTCGATGAAACTCAATTACTTCATTATATATATTTTTTTGCAAGATGATTGGTGTTTAATGTGCCAAATTTGAATTTTTATTTTTATTTTTGATTTTAATTTATTTTTAAAGTTATTATTTACACATATATAGTGTGTAACATTTATTTGATAATATTATTTAATAATAAGTTAAATTTTGAAATTGTCCATAGATTAATATTTATAATTATATTTATTATTAACCGCGTTGCACGGACACGTATAATAGTATTTATAATAAATGATGAATACTTTGTAAAATTAATTTGTACACCTACTTTTTTTTTTAATTCTTTTTTATGAAAAAACAATAATAGTGTAGCACTCATTATAACACGGTATACTCTTTATTAAATTACTCATCATATAACAATAATACTCAAATATTGTAAAAATAATCTCTAATGATCTTAAGTTATGTCAGGTAAGTGAGAATTTGAAAGAAGTAAATTACTTATATTAAGTAAACTAATTTAAAGAAGTTAAACTCTCTTTTCATTTAATATAATATAGAACCATTAAATAAGATAATAATATTTTTTATTAATATTCTTGTTATAATAAATGATGAATACTTTGTAAAATTAACTCATGCACCCCACACATATCCGCGTACCTATCGTTAAATTAACACCATAAAAAGGAATATCTTAAACTTGTCTGAACACAGAAAAAGATCTACCTTAAATCTTACAAAAAAAAATCATTGAAAATGTCTTCAAAATTGCCTCTTATTTGCCTCATTATTCTGGTTTACATCACTACTAGTTCTGTAGTTCATGGACAAGGACTGATTGTTCAATTTGAAAACGGAATGTTGGCTTGCTCCGTGACAGGAAATCCTCCAGGAGTCGGAATCCCTAGCGTACCTGTCAATATTTCTTCGGATGGGGGTAACACAAACCTTGCAAGATTGGTAACAGGTCCTCAGGGCAACATTAAAGCTACAATTAATTTTTCAGAGCCAAGTATAATACAATCTTTTTCCTTTTCTCCAATTGTTGCAACAGTTGATCTACCAATTGATCCTAATGTTAATTGTACTCTTCTTCCTACCTCAGGAAGACTTCAAGCTCCCATTTCAATTATTAGAATTCCCAACTTTGGTGAATTTATGGTAGTAGAGATTGAGGCATTTGACTATATAAATGAAGTATAGGCTCATCATGTCATTTCTATTTTCATAATAAAATAATGCATAACTCTGAGTTAAATAAATAGTGCACCCTATTATTCATATCATATGATGTGTACTTTTAATTTCCATTCATAGTACCTAAAACAAGGATGATATCATTCAATTTGTTTATCTTTGTAAATTTGTAAGATGTCGCCATGTGTCTCTCTGTTTAGCGTAAGGATATACTGTCACGATCCAGACCGCCGTGATTGGCACTCACACTAACCCTCCGGTGGGAGAACCATTAATACTAATTAGCTAACCAACTCTAATCAAAATACTAAGGCATTTAAGTTACGGAAGCAAGCTAAATGCCAAGAAAAGAAAAATAGGGAGTTTCATAAACTCCAACAAAGTCTAACAACTAAACAAATGCGGAAGTAACACCTAGAACCTGAAAGTCAATGTAACAAAACTCTAACAATGAGCCAAAAGTCTAACAAGAAGGGTTACGACCCCAAACTAATGAACTAATAACTAACTAGAAAAGTCTAAGTCCGAAATGTGGACATAGACGAAGGAGAACTCATGGCAGCCTGGAAGAACTGGCTCACCCTTGAATTCGATCGCCGATCACTGATCTTCTAAGTGAGGTCTGTCAATAGCTGCCTGAAGATGTCCTGCACTCAATAAAGAAAGAGCAAGTGCAGAATCAGTACACAACCACAGCGTACTGGTAGGATCACGCGGCTATCCCACTAAGCGAAACATACATAAGTCAATACAACAATATAATCATATGCATATATCAAACATATACAATATCATCATCATCATTTAAGAACAATGTATAATTTCACATTTCTCAAGTTACACAATTATGTCAACTCATGGAACCCAAATCCAAACAGTTAGCATATCGGAACGTGGTATCCGATCCAATGTTTATGACGGAACGTGGCAACCGATCTAAGTTAGTGTGTCGAAACACAACACCCGATCCATTCAACAAGCCACAATCACATTCACAAACCACATTCTCATAATCATACAATCAAGCCATGATTCATGGCATTCATCATTCATATATCCTCATTTACACTTAGTGTGATCAATAATGCAACATTCGCACACATACATGTATCATAATGAAGCAAGAACAAACATACATCACACAACCGTAGAATCACAACCATCACCTACCTCGAAACAAGCTTGAAACCCTAAGAAACTTGATTCTTCCCTTTTCGAATTCGTTCTGCTTGTTCTTGGTCTACAAATAATCAATATAACACGAAAATTAATAAACGATAAATAATTACTCAAATTACTAACAATCTCATCAACCCTAGATCAAACCCTTAATCCCAATATCCCAATTAGGGCTGTTTCGACCATACTTTCCAGATCAAACCCCCCCCCCCCCCAATTGATAGTTACCCATTAGATTACGTTCTACGGATCAAAAAATGAATTCGGGGAGTTAAAACCTTACCTTTAGCCTCAAGAATGGTGAAAAATGGTGAAGAAGTCTCCTGGGTTCGTTCCTTAGCTCTCAAGTTCAAAAATTGTAGAATAAAATATTTTGGGGTTTGAATTTTACGAAAGTGTGATGCGTTTGTATAAGTGTTTTATTTAAAAATATATGTAAAAGGAAAAATGACTTAGTTTTCGAAAAACCGATTAAACTTGTGGTTTAAGAGAAATCGAGTTTCCAAAAGAACAGAGTCGCCACTTAATTTTTTAGTAAAAAATCAAGAAAAAATACTTACGGTTTTCAAAAGATTTAAACAGATAAAATCAATTGAAAACGGGTTCGAAGTTCAATATACATTCCGAGAAGGTGTTAGGCCCTCGGAATGCCCGCTAACTTGCGGTTGACCGGCGATTTGACTAAAAGTGATTTTTTGACTTACTTTGAAATTTTAACTAAATAAAAGAACTCATTTATATTAACTATATTTTTTATTTTATTTTATATATATATATATATATATTATTTTTAAAAAAATTGACTTAGTAAGAAAACTAATTTATTTTGAAATTTTAACTTAGTAAGAAAAATAATTTATTTTAACTTATTTATTTATTACCATTATTATTTTTATCACTTTATTTATTTTAAGAGGGAATGGACTAAAGGGGAATTTTCAAAAGGGGAAATAACTTAAGTGACAAGACAAATAAAGTTAAAGCTAAGTATAAAACAAAATACTTTAATTTACATATATATATAAATGAAATGGCCATCTTGAGGATTTTAATTAAATTAAACCATAAGAGTAAATAAAATGTTAGCCAATCAACAAAATAAATAATAAGGGAGGGAAAGAAAATATCAAATTTGGGCTTTGGCCCAACCTGTCCTAAGTCTAAAAGAGGAATGCCAAAATAATGGGCTTTGACCCATATTGATTAAGATGAAATGCTGATCATTTCATTAGGCTTTTGGGCCCGTTTTGGCTTGGACCTGCTGTAGCAAATAGACTTTGGGCTTTAGCCCATTTCTCCTCTGAAAATCTGCATACGTACTGAGTGTATATTCATGTATATGGACTGTATACCGGCCTGTTTTCATGTATAACATCCCACACACTGAATGTATACAACCTGTTCCACCTCTCCAACACCTGTGATTCTTCTTTTAACCACATGTACGCTGCTCTTTGACCTGTATATAGCGTATATTGTTGTATACCAGTGTATACAGTTGTATATAACGGGTATACAACTCCTTTTTGAGGTCTGGGAGGCTTGCATTAGCTTCTCTTACACCCTCGAACACCAAAGACCGACTCGATACTCGGAAATGCAGGGAGATGATGAAAAAGAGTCCAAATTGGACTCCATATGAATTCGCATGGTACAAAAAATAAGATAAAATTAGCACCTAAAAATAAATATAGAATAACAATGTGTCTAAAACAAATTACTACAGCAGCTTCCAAGTTAAAGTATGTCAAACAAAATTGTTTTGATCCATTAATGAAGATTTAAGAAAAGGGGTAGTGAATCCACAAATAATGTGCAAAATTACTAGAGTTGCTCATGCATGAACTACTGTTTTCAAACAAATTTAACAAAAAGGGAAGCCAACTCTCACATTGCTCACAAGTTATTTGTCATATAATGTAGAATACGATGGCAGATAACACCATACTAGCAAAATTCCTTTAGCAATAAGCAATTAAAGTGAGCAAACTCATAAGTAAAAGGAACAAGAGGCTGTCAGGCCTAAAATAAACTAGACACCCATATTAACACTTAAACAAAAGCACATATGTAAGTTAAAATTTAAATACCCAATTATTATCCTTTGCCCAAGAAATCACACAGATAGGAGAATCAACCAAAATACACTCAAGTAAAGAACAATTACAGGAAATCATGCTTCAGAATGAATTGCAAATGGAATAGATTTAGTAATATAAATAAGGAAAGAAACAGAGCAAACAAACAGATAGATTGAAGCTCAAACCAATATAAAACTTAATATGTATGAATTAGAGACATATTATGATCTGCGACTAGAATCTAAGCCATAGGCAGCTCATATTTCAGACAAAGCAAGCCAAGAACCAATTTAAGATCATAACAAAAACAAAGATTTAAACACAAGCTGAGATACACAGTACTTTACGCATTCAGAACCTCAAACGAGTCAACTAGTGACTATAAGCGGCTATCAGAAACCATATTCAATTATTTTGCAGAAAATTATACAAAGTGTTAGATCGAAAACAAATGATATCCAAAGCATCTTAACTATGAATAACACATTGAAGCAAAAATAGAAAAAATGGAAATATCACCTTATTCCGGGCAGCGACTGGGACAAGAAACGAGCGGAGGAGACAACGAGCTTCTTCCAACACCACACACAAAACTCCGAGAGCTCCGACAAGCAACAAGAATGTCTCGAAAAAAGATATCGACGCTTGAATACACTCTATAACACTTGATTTCTTAAGTCTGTATTTTTGTTTTAAAAAAAAAATCTATGTATCTTTGCTTTTTCAGGACTCCAAATTTTCAACAAAAAAATCTTCCAATTCCCCCCCAAAAAAAATCCCCTTTTATCCCTTTCAACAGTTGACCATATATAGGAGGGCAATAGGGTTCGGAAATGGGGGGAAAACGGATCCAAATTTGGACAAAAGGAGGCCAAATTCAAATTCAAACTTCAAAATTTCTTTCACCAAATTAGGCGAACACCTTTTTCTTGCAATTTTCACCCCATTCCGGAAGAGGAAAGGGGGCAGACGCATGCTCTGTCCCGCTGTTGCGTGTGTCAACGCGTTTGGGACCGTTGCTGTACGTTTTCTGGTCACTTTTGGCGTGAAGGAGAAGGGTAACAGGGGCCAGCGTACTGTTGTCCTCACTGTATTGTTTGGACTGTTGTATTGTATTGTTACTGATCTGCTTGGGCCGGGTAAAGGGGAAAATGGGCTGAAAAAAATAAAAAAAAAGGGTCGGTTGGTGTATGTTATGGTGGGTATTGTATGTTGGTGGGCTGGGAAATTGAGGGGAAGTTGGAGTGGGTCGTGTGGGCTGCTGACAGACAAGTAAAAAGGCCCAAATTTGGTCTTTGGATGAGTTTAAATTGAGGTTAGAAAATGGGTATGTTTGTAATAAACATAGCCAAGTGTATTACAAAATTAGCCTAAAATTGAATGTTATGTAGTGAATTTGGCTAAATTTCAAATAAGATGAATTAATATAATTAATTTAGGAGCTTCTCAATCTTAACGAAATAAAGTAATTAATTCGATAATAATATAATTAATTTAAACATGAACTAATCAATTCAAAATCGTAATTATGATTTAAATTAAACTAAGTTAGTAAAACACTTAGTTAAAAGAAATAAAAATCTTTTGATATGATTTTCAAATATTTATAAAATATACTAATCAGACACATAATTATATAATATTTAACTTAATTATAAACTAACTAATTAACTCAAAATTGTAAACTATTAGATAACTAAACAAACTAATCAAATATCTAATTAAACAAAATCTTTTTGAGACGAT